AGTGTCTTAATTTTCCAAAAGTTTCCAAGGGAGATCCGTCGGACTCACCTAGTCCCTGGGGATTCCATACCCCCCCCCCCAACACAGACACACACACACCCTCACACAGATACTCCATCGCCTCTTACGTGTCGCGGCTGCGCGGGCCTTAAATTCATAACCGCCACTGCATGCATAAGTACTTACACCTACCTAAATACAACATATCGACGGTGTAAGTGCGTAACCATTTATCTCGTTTGTGATGTCTCAAAATTCCCGCTGTTATTTTATTTATTGAAATAAAGGAGAACAAATCGTCATTATTCCTTAAACTTTTTGCATAATTTTTTCGGACTGAGAAGAAAAAGCACGGCAGTTTTTAAAAATCGCCGTTAAGTCGTTTTCCTTTTTAAAATAAGACATGATGGGAAGTCTGCAACGTCGCAAACCTTGATACGTGGTTGCGGACTTACTCATCATGCTGGTTATGCATTCTAGGCAATCCTAGAGTAGAGCAAAAGAGTGGAGTGGTTGCGCGGACTGCACCGCCCCGGAAAATCCATTTTGAGACGGTAACTTTTGCAACGCTGGGGTGCCGTCTCGTTACGCTCTAAGGACAAGCTTGATACACAAATTTGCAGCATTTTAAATCTACTTTCATTTGAAAGGATCTACTTACTTTAAAGAATAGCTGAACAACAGTTACAAGCAAAAAACCATCAAAAAACGAAATTTGGAAAATTTTGGGCTATCTATGAGAACCCTGTAGTGACCGCAATTTTCATCAGAAAAATTTTAAACCGGGTTAAATAAGACCGAATTTTTATCTGCTTTCTTGTGAGATCCACAAACTCTGTCTTAAAATCAACGGCTTTGGCGATAATAGCCGTAAAACGAGAGAATAACCTATTTTTGACCGTTTTTTTATGGGGGGGGGACTTGGAGGGGTCCCCATGATTGTTCGAGGGGGCAATTTTGGATTCTCGTTAAGGTCCCCCTATAGATGAGAAATTAAATGAGAAAAAAAGTTCTGCTCCCAAAACATGCGATGGTAGCCGAAAAACGAGAGAAAATAACCGATTTTTGACAGTTGTTTCGATTATGGAGGGGTTTTCGGGGGGGTCCCCATGATTGGTCGAGGGGGCAAATTTGGATTCTCGTTAAGAACTCCCTATAGATGAGAAATTATATGAGAAAAAAATTTCTGCTCTCAAAACGTGTGCTAGTAGCAGAACAACGAGAGAAAATAACCAATTTCTGACTGTTTTTTTTTATGTTGGGGGTTTTCGGGGGGGTTCCCATGATTTGTCGAGGGGGCAAATTTGGATTCTCGTTCAGGACCCTCTGGAGATGAATAATTTCACCCTACTTTATATAATTCTAATCGATTTCATGCATTCTAGGCAATCCTGAACACATATCTTGAGGGGCAATCTCAAAGTATGCGAAAACGTCCGATGTCCATTATTTTTCTTCTTCCGCCGTCACGTAACTTTCACTGAAGCCTCGAAGAAAAGAGAAATATTTTTTTTTGTGTTACTGGAGGTCTGACATTATGTTTTACTCTAGTTTAAAGGCTTTTGGAGGGGTCAAAAATAATGGTTTTTGGGCAGATTTTTGCAATGTATGCGAAAACGTCCAATGTCCAAAGCCCTTTTTTTAAAATTACTCAGCACTGAATGGGAGTTGGAATGGGACACAGTTGTGTGCCTTTTCTACAACCTTTTACTAAGAAACACATGCCTTGATTTTCTTCAAAACGCCGATTCTAAAGGCCTCCACAGTTTTTTGCGGTTTACCAAAAGTTGATTTTTTGGACATCGGACGTTTTCGCATACCTCGATTCAATTGCAAAATGGAGTCCAGTTAGCCGTCATCACTAGGTGAATAAAATGGTAATCTTCGAAACAGAAACGGAAACCTTTTTCTTTTTAAACTTCCAGAGCTCTCTGAAATATTTTGAAAGCGGCATTCCATTTTGATAAGATGTTTGAAGCATCAAAGAATACAGCGTTCTTGAGTAACTGATCCTCACTTCCGACTAGCTCAAAATTTCAATTTCATACTTTTCAGAGGGTTGAAACAAGTTGTCAATGTAAGGTACTACACTCAAGAGAGAACTACGTTGTACTAGCATTCTTTCCGAATGGAATTCAGGAGTTTGGCTGGATCTAGAGGTCAATGAAGAGGTGCGAAAACGTCTCAACCGAAACGATTTGATAAAGATTCCTTGCAGATGGTTTTGAAACGGTGCGCGATTCGCCTGAAGCAGTGGCTGAAAATATCCCCTTCCGTGCGTGTTCAGGCAAACCGCACGTGACAGTGGTAGCAATAACCTGTCCCGTGCAACCGCTAGCATTGTCCGGACAACGTAAAGCAACTTCATAGAAGCCCAACATTTTTGCTCCGGCAATAAAATTATTAACGGCCTAGCGAGCACCGTTGCACCAAAAAAAAAAAAAAAAAAAAAAAAAAAAAAAAAAAAATTATCACCACTGAATGTTTCAACTTCCTAGAGATCATATTGCATACCTGAGGATATGAAGGAGCGACGACAGAATACGATTTAACACGAAGAACAAGGCTGAAATGAAATTAGTACAATCGAAACGTTTCGGCCGCCTGTTCGATCATTTGCAATCTTTTTTTCAATGATCAAATTGCATACCCGACAATCTAAGGGAACACCGGTCGAGAGAACCCGGTATGATCTGTGATAGAGCAGTTGAATAATTGAACTATATGTATTAAGCGATAAGGAACTAAGCAGCTCATTTCAGGAACGACGCACATGATATAAGTTAACCTGAGCAGCAGATCAGATACCCTGTGTGTTAGATAGCAGTGATGGATTTTATTAATGAGCCGGAAAAAAGAAGTAGGTACACAGACTCGTCTGCTTTAGCTAGAAGTTTGCTTCAATGTCTCACAAATAATTTAACTATTTTAACTCTCTTGAGAGCAAATTTGTGCTTGGATGATCTTTTTCCTCCTCCATAATGAATCTTTAGTTTTAGACTGAATTTTGAGCAAACGCTGACGAAACCACCGCGCCCGTAGGGCAAAGAGGTGCCGAGTCTTGCTTTCCGGGTAGGAGGTTACGGTAGAAAAATTAAATTTTCGGTGTAACGTGTTTTATGAACGGTCCCGCACTGGCAATTTTTAATATCGACTCACAAGTGACTTGTTGCAATTCATTTTAATACAAGAAAAAAAATTTGAATTTAAAATTGAAAGAGTATTTTCTGAAAAAATTTCACGAAGGAAAAAAGGCTCATTTGACGCATAGAACCATTGACGATTTTGGAAGTTGCCGACACTGTTTTCTTCCATTCAAAACTGTTAAATACATCGATCTCATGAGAGGCAAGCTGCCTCTCCGAGAATCGATTGTTTCACATACATTTAAATGGAGGAAACACAGTGTTGCCAACTTTCGAGAATCGCCACTGCATAGAACGCGCTCCTGCAGTCTAGCAGTTTAGCCTTGGATCACCCTGTATATTGATAGTTTCACGTACATGTAACTGGACGAGGTCCAGAGTTGCCAACTTACGAGAGTCATTGTCATCGTCAGCGGAAAAGCCGTGAAAAACTAATGAATTTCTGCTGTACGCGCGCGCGAGTTGATGACTTGGTGGCACTCAGGAAGAAGAGGAGGCGCCCTGCGGTCTTCGTTAGACGGTTAAAATTACCGGACCGGAACGGAACTGTACCGGTAAGTCTCTTTAAGATAGATGCAAAGATTGGCGTTCAAAAATAAATATTGTCTTGGTTTGTTTTCTGTCCGCCGCACAATGGGGTTAAAGCGATTCTGATCTGAACATTGCCGTTATAGATATGGAGAGTCCTGGAGGATAGAGGCGAATTTCCGAGATCGAATGTGGAATGGTCAGGGTCGGGCTGCCCCGGGTGGCCGGGTGGTGGGGTGGCGCACAGCGGATCGAGTTAATTAGAGAGGTCGGACTTGAAATTTGGAACTAAAACCGCAAATTTTGATGTTTATTTCGTCACATTTAAAATTTTAAGGGGTGCTTCCGGAAGAAAATTTCACGAGGGAACCAATCGCCCCACTTTTAGAATCTCAAAATTTTGTATAAACGGAGTTAAAAGCTTTTAAAGTTTCCCAATTTTGTCCCACCTCGCCTGTTGACTCGATCTACTGTGTGGCGATCGGCACCCGGGCCTCTGGGCCGATGATAATAAAGGTAGAAAAGTGAAAAAAATAGAGGTGAATAGAAAGACAAACAGAACCACTGGAGTTTCTGTGAAACTCATTTTAGGTAAAAATTACTGCTTGCACGGAGTACCCAGGCTCAACCAGTGTGAAATTAGGGGCCCGGCACTATTTACACGAAAAAGAGAATTGATTTAACGTGAATCAATTTTAATTACGTATGTGGTTAAATTTATTACTTAGTATGAATTTATACATGTGTTAATTGATTCTTTATTATACAAATACCTCGATACACAAATTAGGAATTTAGATTTTCCCACAGAGCGATTTCAAATGGGTAAGCAGCAAAATATCACGAAAAAAATAAAAAATACGGTGTGACGTCACATTTTGACGCCAAACGTCCTGGTTGAACGTTTGGTGTATGATTCTCGCTTTTATCTTCGAGCAATCGCGACATCTGAGAGTGATACCACTATTCGGCCACGTGGGAGCTCGGGTTGCCTACACCGAAAACTGAAGGCAAACTGACGGTGAGGTAAAGTCACCGCTCCGCACGCTACGCTCGGTGAATTCGTCGCTTGTCTGACGTAAGGGCGTAACTAAACTCAGAGATCAGCCTGGGAAAACATTGAGTATATGAACTACAGAGTTCATCGCGAAGTGTATAGTTACGTCCTTATTTCAGGAGAGCGACGAATTAATCCTTTCTCCCCCTAAAAAAATGCAAATTCTGATTTTCATCGTTCAACTACATGGAATGTTTTAGGATTAAAATGGCAAACCTACCTTGTTATCTGTTGGTCCATGTCCTGAAAAGGTCTTTCCAGGCTCGTGATGATTTGCTGCCTCTGAAACAAATCGAAGAGTCGGGTATTACTTCATTGGGTTAGGTAAAATCAATCCATCCAATTTACTGTCAAAAGGAAAAAAAAAAAACATGGTGTATGATTTTAAAATGCAGATGAGAAACTTAGCCTTTCTGCGAGCGCGGTTGTCTTGCCTAACGTTAATCTAGCATGAAAATGAAAAATACCCTTTATATGCAATTGAAATAAAATCAGTCGATTTTTCATCATCCAAACTATTTCTAGGAGTCTTTCGGACGATTGGTGGCAATTTGACAAAGAACGGAGGCTTCTTTCGATAAAATTTTCCGGTCAGAAGCTTCTGAGCCCGTTTTCCCAAAACTTCATTTTTGCACTTACTGCTCTCTTCGCTATCATGAACGTATACTGCCGTGCTAAGGAAGAACGCCACATGAATATTCGAGAGTTGTCAAATCTCTTCCGATAAAAAATGACTTTTTAAAGAAAGTAATGCATTTTTTTTTTGCTTGAAATTTTCAGATATTTTAGATTTAATTACAAACAAAATTGACTGAAAATTTTGAAAAAAAATATGCACAATTTTTTCAGAAAAATTGAGGGAAATATGGCAAAGTCTGAAGGCTCATACGGTGTTTGTCCTTTGCTCGGCGGTATAGGAGTCCAAGATTGGATCCACTTGGCGGCGAGGTGCTCTGAAATTGTGACGTCGGAACGATTGTCATTGAGGTCTGAACATTAAATCGACCGATCGCGGTTTGCGGCGTCGAGTTATCGACCGATACGACGACAGTAACAATTCAGTGCCGACTAATCGCTCATATCCGCAAAATCATAACAAACCGGCGCGGTGTTGCCTTTTCGCTTCGCGAATCGATGGCCGCAATCCTGATTCTCTCAGCACGAGAGAAGGACACAACTAGAGTACCTATATTGAGAGAGTATAGTAGAGAGGCTTAGGACCCAAAAATGGCGGTGCTTTGTTTTGGTTTTTGTGGATGGGAGGGGGGTCATTGCCAACTTTTGACGGTTATCACCAACCGCACTTGCTGCCAACCTTACTACATCTAAGATAATTTTCCTCAAAAATTGCACACGATTAGCCTTAAAAATATGTAAAGATGTCACAATAGTGCATTTGAGTAAATTTCTCGTTACGATAAGCAAAGAAAACTACATTTTGAGTCATTTTGCATTACATTAATTTATGGCGTCAGCCATTTTTGGGTCCTAAGGGCTCCATTTAGCCTAAGATGGCTGAGCCAATCAGAGGTGGTAACCCCAGTGGCCATACTCTCTCAATATAGGTACTCTAGACACAACCATCGCGTTTTGATCGTTACGAATATGCCATTCAAGTTTGTACGACCTGATAACATGGGCAAAACAAAGGAGGGAGGCTTGACCCCCTTCCCATTTGTCCGTGAAACCCTTTCCGAAAGCTTCAGTGGTGCCCCCCCCCCCCAGGTACTTGTCGAGCTCCCCCCTATTTCATGACTTGTACCCCTCCCCCTCAAAAAAGCCGCGGACACCTTCTAGGAAGTGTGAAGGGGGAGAGTTCGGGTCGGGGGGCCTCCCCCAGAAAATTTTGACAATTTGATGCTCTCTGGAGGCAATTTGAGGCTATAATCAGCAGTTTCGTCTCCTTTTCTAGTGCAGAAATTCCATTAGTTTTCACGTGTAAATATATCATTGTTTTGTGAAAATTAAACGAAACTTTATAAAGAAAGCAGAAACATGGGGGGGGGATGAAGGATTGGGGAGAAAAGAAGAAAAGGGGGGTGGAGGAGAATATCACCGAGGGAAAACAGGTAACACTTTGGCGGATTTACGCTAACTGCGCATCAAAAAAAAGAAAAGTCCCCCCCCCCAATTTCAAACTAGACGGGTTGATCGACTGCAAACATGGCCACTGACAGACTGACACCACTAGAAAGCTTTAAAATAAAGAAAGAATAGACGGTGATTGCGCATCAAGGATTTGTACCTCCCGACGTCATCAGGTTCACGTGAAAATTGGTTGGTGAAAATTGAGATTTGGAGTTTTCTGACTTGACACTTCCTATTAAAAATCGGAAAAAAGCTTGAAAGCTTGAGCGATGGCTAAAGTGAGAAACTACGTGTCTTCGCATTGAGGGGTTACAAAATCTCTGCTCCTATTTTATTTTTTTAGATAGAAACAAGTCAACTACATGGCTTGAAATTTCTGAGGAATATTCTGCTAGTGAGAGGAAAAATCAAGAACATTTTCAAGAAATTAAGTAGACTAGTTTCCCGAGGAAAACACAGAGTACTTGGCAGGAAATGGCCCAGTGGCAGGAAAGGGCTATAGAACTATAGGGAATCAACAATAGGATACTATTTAGTTCAAGTGATTTTTTCTTTAGTTATACTTACATTTATTTTATTTTATATGTTTAACTTAGGTTATATGTGTAGCTTTATTTTGACTTTGGGATTAATAGTTAAGATGGGTATATTTCCTTTTCATTTTTGATTGATTTTAATCTGTGGCAAGCTTGAATGAATTAGATTTCTAAGGATTTATGACAGGAAGTCTGCAACGTCACAAACGGAGATGCGTGGTTTCGCACTGTGGCCATCGACAAATTAAATTCAATTTTAGGAATTTCCTGCATTATTCATGTTTCGTTAGATTTACTGATTTTGGGGTGTTTGCGATCAAAGCTGCAAATTTTTCGAACCGCGGGCTTGCAACGTGGGGCACAGTGGTGTCGCGGAGGCAATGTCGCGAGGCCCGTCCATGAGTCACCGGAAAATCGATTCGCTCGACCGATACCCATGCGGAAAAAACTATAACGCGCCATCTACGCAACATCTCGAATCAAGCCAATTTACGGCTGGTTGGACGTACTTATGCTAAAAATAACTCCGCGAAAATGAATTATATCAAAAAGAACTACATGCACATTATTGGCTGACCTCATAGTTCCTTTTGATTTGGCTCTTTTGCACATAGTTCTGTTTCGAATAGATGTGTCTAGTCTGATGTGTCTAGATGAACGTTGTCTACCATCAGAAAAAGAAAATGATTAAAACAATGTTGCGACCTGCTGGCGAGTCCGCCTGGACAGATCACCCCCTATTAAAGATGACGAGTATGAATAGGTTAAGTTTTCTGCTGATATCAGCTGGAGCTCTACTGGAAGTAAAATCTCAGGAGCTCTACAGGAGATCAAATCTCAGGAGCTCTACTACAGATCAAATCTCAGGAACTCTACAGATCAAATCTCAGGAGCTCTGCTAGAGATCAAATCCCAGGAGCTCTACTAAAGATCAAATCTATGGAGCTCTACTTCTCTGGAGATAACTGCGAAATTAGTAGGAATCCAACTGATTTCAGTAAAATCTTCACCAATATCGAGTAAATCTCCACTGACATCAGTTAAATCTTCACTGATATCGGTTAACTCTCTACTGACCTCCAGTGAATCTCCATACTGAATCAATCCTTCAACTTACGTCAGGGAAGATTTAACTGCTGTCTAAAAAATATCTCCACTTCTCGGAGTGTTCCTTCCGATCGGAATTTCTTGTATTTGACAAGTCATGACTTTAATCTTCATTTAGAGCGATTTTATATGAACTAACACAAGAAACATACTCTACATATAAATGTGGACTTACTGTGTTTTATAGTTTACATTGGAACTATCGAAAAACGCAAGTAATTAGTAAGACAAGATGCAATAAATTAATCTATTGGGAACATTTAACAGCGATAATTGCTTAGCATTTTGCAAAAATGAGCCGGGCGCACGATGTCGCTAAGATTGTTCAATCGTTTTCACCTTGCAAATGTAAACTGATCACCTAAACAAGTTTTATCTTCACTTACAATCAGGGCCGGATCTAGGAGATGGCCACATGGCGGCAAATTTAGGGGGCGGCAAATTTTGCAATTTTTTTTAAAAATAGGTATAAAAAAAATCGGATTAAAAAAAAAAAAATCACAAACGAGGAAAGGTGACAAAATCTCTCATGTCCTGAGAGTATATTTCTAATTTTGTCGTCTTTCTGTGATACAATAGACAGCACCTTTCATTAGTCTATTTACGACTAAGAGAGAAACCGAACACGGAATTTGGTCTGGAACGGCGCGGCGCAGAGAGCAATGACGACGAGGACTTTAGATGAAAAGGAGTAGCCCTCGGTGTGGCGGTCGGCATGTATCACATGTTAGCGCCTACAAGACTGCATGAATACTTCACGCATTGCGTCAAAGACAGTGAGGTCGCTGCGGTCAGCAGCGGGCGGCGTGAAACGCATAGCGCCTACAAGACTGCATGAATACTTCACGCATTGCGTCAAACACAGTGCGGTCAACAGTGGTCGGCGTGAAACGCAAAGCGCCTACAAGACTGTAGGAATACTTCACGCATTGCGCCAAACCCATAGCGGTCAGCGCGGCGCAGCGGCGGAAGTTAAAATTATTAAATCACATTTAAGTTTGTTCTTTCATAATTTTTTCGTTCATTTCTTCAAATGGAAGGCCTCGTCCTCACAGAGATAGGTATACGGAACTTAACTTTTGCACAAAGTTTTGTGAACCTTTGCTAGTAGTGTTGTGAGGGTTTTCGCAAATAATGTGTCCAACAAGAATGAACGCGTCTAATGCACCCCTCTCCCTTTGGCACGTTCACTTGATGGTTTTATTGATGTTTCAAAACAAATGATAAGGGGGCGGCAAAATGCAGGCGGCCCATGGGCGGTAAGTTGGTAAATCCGGCCCTGCTTACAATAAGCTATAAATTCAAGACTCAAATTGTATATTTAATTTTTCGCAGGATTTAAGTAATTTTAATGCAAAGAATGTGAGTTGCACGATCTTAGCAATATTAGAATTCTCTTGGTTCCTTTTTGGAAAATGCAATCCAATTTATCAAATGACATCCAGCCGCTGAATCAATCGAGGGAAAGTCGTTCTGAAGTAACAGCCATGCGAAGTATTTTGTGGCCGAGTTTAGTTCAGTTGCCGAAATCGCAAGACACGAACCAATCAA